ATCGTCGCGAAAAGTGCATCGCAAAAAACGATCTTTTTTTTCCATTATTTTATTCGAGGTGTAAAATCTGAATAGATTGTCATTATACATAACACTGCGTCTAATTTTTGTCTCTTCGTTAATTTATGTTGCGCGTTAATTATGTTTTTTTATGCAGTTTTCGTGCATATTATTATAACTACGTTCTTCTGTTTATGCCATCGAGATTTATATGCGCTTCAGAAAATGAAGTCTCGGCTCGGTTTAAAATAATAGATGGTTTAAAACAGTCCGCGGCTGACCGCGAAAGAGAGAGAGAAAAACCGGTGATCTCTCTGAAAAGTGTTAGACTCGACAAGAACTCTAGCTCGACAAGCAACTTTGCAGCGAGCTGCTCGAAAAAGTCAGTGTAAATCGAACATTAATATTGGAAAAGACAAGTGTGAAAAGTTGTTGTGTGGAAATAGAAAAAGAGTCACGCGCAAAAGAAAATATTCCGTAATTTATTCAAACGATGTATTAATTTCGCAAAATAAATTGTCAAGTTTGTCGTCGTTTTAATTTCGTAATTTCACGGAGTATTTTATTATGAACGGAGCTGACGGAACATGATAAGCAAAATTTACTTACGATCTCGAGACGTCATGAGAATAAATATTGTTTTATCCGTAATAAAATTGACGATAAGTGTGAAATAATAATAATTATTAATTTTTCTATATAAAAATCTTTGAATTTGCAAGTTTTAAAATCTGTGAAGCACAGATATTTGTAGTTTTTGCGCAGCGTCGCATAAGAGATAATTTAGACTAGGTTTTTATTTTTTTCTTGAAAACTATTGATTTTACGAAAAAAAATAAAAGAAATAAAAAAGTTTCTAAAAGAATTCAGCTTTGTTAAAAAGTTTTAATAAAAAATTGAATAGAGGTTGTTAGTTTCATCCTCTTATGGGTGTATGGGAAGATTAAAAAATATTAATAAATATCTTTTTTATTAGTGAAAAATATTCACTAAGCTTCATTATTTTGACTAGTTAAAATTTTAAGAAAAAATTAAAAACCTAATTTTTACCTCTCCTTTGGAAGAATATAACTTCTCGGGGAAAAATATATATGTTTATTTGAAAAATTCTTCTTAATTTTCGGCAAAGAATCATTTTCTAAAATTTTTCGTACGTAGAAACATCCTGCATATAATAATATTAACCTTTTGTGGTTAGTAATTCTCTACAACGCACTACAAGCAGATCTCATTTTATAAAAAATAATATTATGCTACAAAATAAAATAATTTAATAAGAAAATAATATAACAATATTTAGGAATGTATTTAATTTTTGGTGTTACTAAAATATAATAAAATAATATTAAAATAATTGTTAACAATAAAATAATAATAAAGCAATGTGCCTCGTAAATAGACTTGGACTATATTTTTATAAGCTACCATAAATTCTCAGAAGATTATTAAACTATATGCACAAATTTTTCTCTCTCTTTTTTGTTTATCGGAATAATTTCGAAGAAATGTTTTTTGTATAACGGATGAATTAATATCAGAAAAATGTCCGGTATTACTGCGGCATTACACATATATACAATATATCTTTTATTAATTGTCCGACAACTTATACACGGACAATGTCGACACATATTACACACTGAAAGTTTTATATCGTTGTCTTCAGTTCTCAAGGTTTATAGAAAATGCGGAAAAGTCACGTTCGTCGCCAAGAAGATTAATCTCCGAACACTTGCTGTGTTACGTGTTAGTAGTCGTTTCAGGACCGACATGTCGATTACGTATAGTGCTCCTTCGGAAATTAAATTAAATATGTGCGTGCGTTTTTTACGATTAATCCTATTTTTCTCTATTCATCTTAACAAAAGCGAATTTCGGAAAATTAATATATGTAATCAAAATATTTTATACGTCTAAGATTTAAGAATCATTAAAATCATCAACGAATTAATTTGTGAAGAGAAATCTTTAAAGCAGTGCTTATTATCATGAAACACAGTTTAAGCAGTTAAAAATATTGTTTTTTATTATTTTAAATTAGAAGATATATTTCTTATAGATTTTTGGATGCTGAAAACGATACCGCAAGCTAATTTTCATCAGCACGTCAAGTTCGAAATAATTGAGGTTTAATATCAACGAATTAATTTGTGAAGAGAAATCTTTAAAGCAGTGCTTATTATCATGAAACACAGTTTAAGCAGTTAAAAATATTGTTTTTTATTATTTTAAATTAGAAGATATATTTCTTATAGATTTTTGAATGCTGAAAACGATACCGCAAGCTAATTTTCATCAGCACGTCAAGTTCGAAATAATTGAGGTTTAATATACAAAAATATTTTCTTTGTGATATTTGAGATTTTTTAATGAAAAAGATCAACGTTATCTGGAAATTCTGATCAGATGTCATAAATTTTTTTATTTCGATATCTTATTTTTTAGTCATGTTAGACAGAATTTAAATACAGAGTTTTGCTGAGATAGGAAATATTCCGCCTAATAATGATAAAGTCATATAATTATAATTGCATAATTTGTAGTTTATTGCTATCATTGCACATGTATAGTGTAACTTATTATCACTTGCATGAAGTTAGCACCCCACTTTTGGAACTTTAAAATTCTAATTGTTGTTCCAAGTTGTTTTAGACTTGTTCTAAATTCTTCCAGAAGATAAAATTTATATAATACAAATGTTTGCGGAAAATTGAAAAAATCACTTTTTTGACGTGGTACCCCATTTTTCAAAAATCGAACTTTTCGAGGTTGTTCTAGGTTGTTCTGGACATTGTTCCAAAGTATTAGTTTGATTGGTCAAACAATTTAAGAGATATTTGAAAAAAAACAAAAATTAAAAGTAATTAAATACTAACAGTAAAAAAACGTTTTTAACTATTTTTTCATAAACAAAATAATTTACAGTATTGTTGATTAGATCATGTTTATAATCGTGTAGAACAACTCAGAATAAAATTTTTAAGACCAGCACACCAATATTAGGCCCATTTTACTCTTAATCGGAAAATTTTATTTCTCAATTTCATTGGGTAAAAGACTTGTTCCAGGCTTCTCGCTTTAGAACTGAAGTGTTCTCGACTAGAACAACTCAGAACAAAAATTTGAAGCCGAGAACAATAATATAAGGCTCATTTTACTCTTGATCAAAACGTTTAATTTTCCGATTTTATTGGGTAAAAGATTTGTTCCAAACTTCTCGCTTGAGAACTGAAGTGTTTTCAACTAGAACAACTCAGAACAAAATTATTATCTTCTTTCCTCAAGAACATCTTTTTATGAGAAATAGTCCAACTTTGATATTTCATAATACGAATAAAAAATAAAATATTAAAATAAAAAATGCATTTTATTTACATACATTCGTGATATTTGATTAAACTTTTCAGATAATGTTAATATTTTTTACAAAAAAATCTCAAATATCGTAATTCAGGTTTCATGTGTAACAATTTTTTTACACATGAAACCTGAATTATTTTGGAAATTTGATGTGCTAGTGAAATTTGTGGTATCATTTTCAACACTCACATATCTATACAACACACTTTATTTGGTTTAAAACAATGTTTGGCTGTAACTAGTATCCAGGTAGCAAAATTATATGTTATTTTGACATTTAATATCCCTGGTAGCATCACATTTTGACGTCAATTTGCTACTTGAGGCTTTGGTATAATTAGTGTTTGCTGTTATCTAAATAAAATTATATACTCTAACAGTACATATATCCCAGAAACGTTCAGAGAATATCCTGAGGATGTTTGAATGTCCTCCGGATATCCTCTATGTATACCCTCTGAATAGCTTCCGGATATGTTGTACTATTAGGATAGATGATTATCTAGATGAAGTTTTGACGTTATCTTATTTTATATATATATATATATAGATGCAGATTATTATATATATATATATATATATATATATATATAATAAAATAATCTGCATCTTAGATGAAAAAAATGTTATCTTTACTAAATTATCTAAAGTAATGTTCAGATAATTTGGTTTAGGGCTATTAAAAATACTTGAGCAGAAAATGATAAAGAAATTTTTATTTATAAGTATAAATAAAAGTATGAACATGTTTTTATATCTTTTTTGTAATTTTTATTTTTTTATAACTGTGTTTACATAAGCGATCTTAAAATAATATTATCAGAAATTAATCTAGATAAATCGCTACATAATTTTATCTTTTATATCTAGATATATTTAAACAAAATCATCTTTATCATCTCTAAAATGAATATTTACATATATTTTCATCTCATCTTTATCTAGCTAATTTTTAAATCTCAACACAATACTAAATCTAATCGATTTTGATCGCTACCTACATAGATATATTTAAAACAAAATCATCTTCATCTTATCTTGTAAAATGTATTTACATATTTTTATCTTATCTTTAGCCAGCTAATTTTGAAATCATTTAAGAACAATACTGAGTATAAATTTAACGTATAAGACGGGCAACAAGAGCCAAATCGCGGATGACAATGCGTTATCCTAACGAAACTAAATAATTTTTCGTTAGAATTAAATACCGGTGCACAAGGCACCAAATTTTTCCCGATTCAGCGATTTTCGGATCTATATTTTTCTCTTGCATTCATTTATTTATTTTCCGTAGGGGGGTTAAAGGGGTATTGAAATTAAATCTCAAAATATGAGATTATTTCATATTTAAAATCTTGACCGTGTCCAAGTAAAAATTTGGTGCCTTGTGCACCGGTATTTAATTCTAACGAAAAATTATTTAGTTTCGTTAGGATAACGCATTGTCATCCGCGATTTGGCTCTTGTTGCCCGTCTTATACGTTAAATTTATATTTATAGTACAGAGCCTTATTAAAAACTCTTATATTAAATACTGAGTATAATCAAACCTTCCACCAAGAAATGTTTCGTTGAAAAGTGAATGTAAATAAATGTACAAGAAAGATATCGTCAACACGGATTGTTTTTTTTTTCAGGTCGCCGTTGTCGGGGACAGAGGTTCAGGGTAAGATCAAGGAGAGGAGCTCGTACTATCCCCAAGAACCCAACAAGAGGCCGCAAACGGCCGGAGAGAAGATGCGATCGTGTCTGAGCCACAACGCGCTGACGATTTTGACCGTGAGTGGGGTGATAGGTGGCGTGATTCTCGGCATAATCCTGCGAAACTCTCGGGAAAGATGGACTCCGCGCGAGATCATGTACATCAACTATCTCGGCGACCTGTTTCTGCGGATGCTCAAGAGCTTGATCCTGCCACTTATCATCTCGAGTCTGATTTCGGCCATCGGGTCCCTCGATTTATCGCTCAGCGGCAAAATCGGCGCACGTGCGATCGGCTATTACATGGTCACGACCATCTGCGCGGTCGTACTAGGTCAGTTTAAATCTCTTTTCTTATTTCGACAAACGCGGAATTTCGTATTGTATTTCGAAAGCAAGTGATGACATGATAACAAGAACTCAACTTTATTAGGATAATTTATAATAATTTTATGTGGTTCTTTTTTACTGCTGATTTTGATCTTCTGCATCTTTTACAATTTTAAAAGACCCCGGACAATCCTTATGGAAATAGGATTTCGGTGGAATTGGCTGTTTTTTTCATATATTGTAGCTTGTGACCTGCTGAATAAAAATATAATAACTTTGAAGCTAAATAATGGACAGTTACAGCCAGTCAAATAATTCGTAGCGTCCAAGTTTTTCGTGTTTGACTAACTATATTTAACTAACTATATTTTGAAAGCGAGTGACGAAAGGTTAACAAGAAATTAACTCTTTTTAGAATAATTTATAATCATTTTATGTGGTTCCATTTTACTGCTGACTTTGATCTTTACAATTTTAAAGGACCCCGCACAATCCTTATATATCCTATAAACAGGATTTAATGGAATTGGCTGACTTTTTCATATATTGTAGCTTGTGACCTGCTGAACAAAAGATGTAATAGCTTTGAAGCTAAATAATGAACAGTTACAGCCAATTAAACAATTCATAGAGCTCAAATTTTTCGTGTTTGATTAATTGTAAATTAGTAATTATCTATTATTTAGCTTTTAAACCTGTTACATTTTTTGTTTGACACATCATAAACCACAATATACGAGAAAAGTATCTATAATCTTACTAACATTCAATTCTATATAATATATAAGATTGCAAGTGCAAGACTTTTTAACTTTGAAGCTATTGCGTCTTTTATATTCAGCAGATCATAAGCTACAGTACATGAACAAAATCAACCAATTTCACCGAAATCCAATTTCCATAAGAATTGTGTGGGGTCTTTTATGAAAATTGCAAAGAAGAGCTATTTTAATATACTTTATCGTGTTATAACAACTATCGTATATAATATGTTGCAGAAATTTGGTCGTAAAAATTAAATATAAATTGTAGTATATAGATTATATACACTGATTTTATTGCCAATTTTAAAGTAACTTTGTGTCGCTTATTATAAATATGGTATTAGTTTTTTTAGATTGTCTCTAATTTTTTAGATAATACATAGAAAAATATTATTTATACCATTTTTTTATGTGGGTCATCAGAATCACGTTTAAAGATAAATTAATGTTAAAGAATAAAAAAGACAGATCAAATCGTGCTACAGGTCGTAATTGGAATAAAACTATAATTCAAATATATATATTATCTCAAAAACTGGAGCCAATTCGGCAAAATTGTTGTCATTTATGGATTTAGCATCCTCAAAAGATTCTAAATATCTCTGGCAACTAAACAAAAGTTCTTTTTGCTGACTAGAGTTATAAATTAAATATTAAGTTAAATTGTGTAATGAGTACACAGAAAAATTAGCGTGACTTTAGAAGTGATTAATGCGGAATGTCGAAAGAGAAAAATATCTGCCTATTGTATATAATATTGTGTATATTCTCGCACACTTGCAATGCTGTTCAACGTTTTAAATAAGCGTATTATCGAGGTTAAAATGTCAACGACGACGCGCGGATCGCGATCAAAGGATCTCGCCGAGTATCTCCATCGCGGACAATGATACATTTCTCAGAAATAAACGGCAGATGTCTCGCGCATTTACATATCTCCGACGGTCGCGAAGTCATGAATTCTCTATGACTCATCTCAACTAATTAATTAACCAGCGCGACCGACAAAGAGCGAACGTGTCGGACATGGCCGAAAAATTAACTAATTAGAGATAATTATCTCACGCAATTTTATATTTTTTTGTACTATCGCTTATCTGATAAATACGATCTTTTATTACGTCTAATCTAGAGATTAAATCCGAATTTTAATCCAAAACAAATTTGCTTACGCGCGTATCAACTTTGACGCGAGAAGAAAATCATTTTCCTCTTGCGACACGTCGTTGTATCCCAGCTGGATAATTCTATTTTTTATGTCACATCGTGTCATCGCACTTATCTCACCGATTCTTCAAAGCGACAGACGCTGATGCATTTTTGCTCTCTCGCGATGAAAATTTGACGTTTGTAGATACGACTATTGCTCAAACAAATAATCTGATTTTAGGTATAATTCTTGTCGTTTCGATTCAACCTGGAGTTGGCAGCTCAGCCACGGAGACCAAGAAACCAGCGCAAAATGTTTCCACTGTCGACACCTTGATGGACCTGGTTAGAAACATGTTTCCGCCGAATCTTGTGCAGGCTTGCATCGCTCAACATCGAACCGAGCCGAAACTACCGGAGAATGCTAGCAGTAATAATTTCTTTAGCGATAAAAAAATACCTTAACTTAGAAGAATTAAAGTATCCAATTCTATATTACTTCCCAAATAGCAAGTGTACATCATTTTGACGTCAAATGACGTCATTAGACGCCGAATGACATCATTAAACGTCGAATAATATCATTAAATGTCAAAATGACGTCATTAAACGTCGAATGACGTCTTTAGATGTCAAAATTACTTTGACGTTCTGCGTTCTTTCATGATGTAACTTTGTCTGTTAGTCCCTATGGACGAATGGGAACTGATGGAGAAAGAGGTATCTGGCACCAATATTCTCGGACTCGTCGTATTCGCGACAGTGATGGGCATCACCCTCGGTAAGATGGGACCTCAGGCCAAGCCGCTGTTGAACTTCTTTGAATCGCTTTCCGGCGCCATGATGTTGATCACCAATTGGGTCATATGGTAAAACCTCATACTTTTCAAAGCGCATCAAGTTACTAAAGTTACTAAATAAAATATATTAAATGCACAACATTGTTGCGTAACACAATGTCGTTGTCAATTTGATGTCTCTGTCTCCATGTCAAAAGATTAAGAACTCAAATAGAGCAGAAAGTCCAAATAATGTCATATTCATCAAATTTGGAATCCAAATTTGGTCAATATATGACATCAAATTGACATCATTTTGCCTCTTCTACTTGGGAACTTTAAGATGATCCTTATTGTATGTTTTTACGTGTACAGGTTGTCGCCGATCGGTGTGCTCTTCCTAGTCGCCTCCAAGATCACGGAGATGAAATCGCTGGATGAAGTGGTCGGCCAGCTTGGGATGTACTTCTTGACCGTGTTGATCGCCCTCCTCATACACGGCTTCCTAATACTGCCAGGGTTGTATTTTCTTCTTACGAAAAAGAACCCTTACATCTATATATCGAACATGGCACAGGCGCTTGTCACTGCCTTCGGCACCTCTTCGAGTTCGGCGACGTTGCCAATCGCCATCAGCTGTCTCGAAGGGAGAAACGGCATCGATTCACGTGTCACCAGATTCGTCATGCCAATAGGCGCTACCGTCAACATGGATGGTACCGCTTTGTACGAAGCTGTGGCTGCCATTTTTATCTCACAAGTCCGTAAAATCTCCCTTTCCTTTGGACAGCTGGTAGCGGTGAGGTGAGTGTTTTCTAATTAAAATGTTCTCTTTCTTTTTCTTATAAAGAAAAGTATATTATATATATATATATATATATATATATATATATCCCCTAACAGCACAATATCTCGAAGAACTTTAGAGAACATCCTGAGAATGTCTTATGGATATCCTCTGGATATCCTTTAAATGTCTTTCAAATATAGTGTACTATTAGTATACTTAGGATTCCAGATAGCAAATGATGTCATTAGATATCAAAATAACGTCATTTGATGTTTAATGACGTCAGTTTGCTATTTGTAATATTTCTATCCTAAACTGTTATTGCATCTAACGTATTGTTTTAGTATCACGGCAACCGCTGCTAGTATCGGCGCAGCTGGAATTCCACAGGCCGGACTAGTAACAATGGTAATGGTGTTGGACACGGTCCGACTTCCGGCTAACGACGTCTTCTTAATCATCGCGGTCGATTGGTTACTGTAAGTATCCTAGCTGCTTATACATATATCCTTATTTTATGATTGAAAATACCTCGCACTAATTTTATGTGAAATGGATTTCGGTTAAATCAGTTGGTTTTTTCATACGTTGTAGCTTCCGAAGTAATAAACTAACGTCATTAAATACCAAAATGACGTCATTTGACACACGCTACTTGGGTAACGAGCCCTTCTGAACAAAAGATTCAATATAGTCTTTCTCTAAATAATGGACTAACATTGAGTTACAGCTAGTTTAATTGTAAATTACTGTCTATTATTTAGCTTTGAGCATATTATATTTTTTGTTTAGTAAGTCATCAGCTACAACATATATAGTATTAGTGCGGAATTTTTGATATATATATATATATATATATATATATATATATATATATATGAAATTCTATATAAAATTAAATATCTTACAAGGGAACGGTCGGAAGTATCGCTCACCGATTTTAATGAGCCTTGAATATGTAGATTATTGTAGAACATTGAAAAATATTAGACCCGTATTTCTTTTAGCGACGTATCTCGACGTTTAGGGGGTAAACACTCTCTTGAAAAAAAAAACGATTTTTTAATTTTTGAGCTAATACCGTCGAAACGATAAAAGACATTAAAAAATGTTTCAAGTAAAAGTTTTATGGTTTTTAAAGTTCTTTAAAACAGTGCAAGAAATTTTTCAAAAATTTCAAATTTCCCCCTCTTTCCATAATTTTTGAAAATTTTTAAATTTTTTTATAAAAGTTCTAAAAGCTTATTTAATTCCAAATCCAACCATATATAAGAAAGTTTTATTCCGACAATGCATTTTTGAGAAATAAATTAGAAATATCACTATATACGCTCCATTCGTATCTGCCAGACGCTCGCGCTACCCATGATGACCGTCTTTTCTTCGTAATCTCATAGAATGAAATATCGATACAAAATTTGTATATGGTATTGTATTTAATAATTTAATTTATAACAATTTATATATTTATAAATATAAAAATTTATAAAAAGTAATTTAAATTTTATACATTGAAATCTTTTATATATTAAAATATTAAAGAATAATTGTGTGGCAATAAATAATTTACATATATGTAAATTGAGAAAATATATTTACAGTAAAATAAATAAGAGCCAATCGAGGAAAAATGTGAACTTTATATTTATGGTTCATATTGATTACAAAAATGATGATCGTGAAAGAAATGTTTTATACAAAGAGATTTTTTGCACCATGCGCAGGCAATTATAGCAATTTGGCCGCAAATATCGCGTTAATTTTAATTTATTTTTGAAACAATATTCAACTGGTATTTCAAACTCTGTCGGTCTATTTTGTACATATCTACTTTTAAACCATGCAAATTTAAATAAATTTTGAAACCTGGGCGATAAGAATTGATAATGTGTTAATGATTGCAATTTCAAAATATTATTTCTAATATGAAGATTTATGGCGAGATCTAACAACATAACAGTATCAGAAAAATGTTTAATAAAATTTTTCCATAATCAAAAGCCATATACATCTAATGGTTGTATTCTTCCCGTTGTACCAGCCGGAATAGTCAAAAAACAATATCTGTTACAGAATCTGGTTTAATTTCTGAAATTATATTAGGACAATATCCACTCCAGGAATCTAATAATAGTATTGATTTTGGTCCAACATTCGGAAAAAATACATGTTTTAATCAAATTTTTATATGATTTGACGTTAATTTGCCTGATGTTGAAGCCGTAACAAAAATATTAGGCGCTTTAAATAATGTTTTTTTGCGTTCTTGAATCAAACGTTCCTGTAACTTCTTTTAATACAATAAAAAGAGACGATAATAATCTACCATCAGCGGAAATAGTCGGCTGTATGGTGTAACTATGCGTGGTTGCTGATGTAGATTGTACTACAGATTCTACTTTTTTTACACCTTTATGTGCCAGAGTACGACCAGAATGTAATTCTAACTGAAATCCGCTCTGATCCGAATTGTAAATATTTTCTACTCCGTATCGATTAATGTAATATTTAACGCTTGCAATAAATGCATCACATTTATTTTCGAAATCTTTTATTTGATAACAAAGCTTTTTTTGTTATAAATTTTGTTATTTTTGAGATACAATATCATGTGTAATTTTGAATCTTTTTACGTTTCTGAAGCTTTAAATCCTGCCGCATCCTCTTCTTCTTGGGCTCGAGAAGCCCATCGTGCGATGTCAATGTCATGAATAATACTTCCTTTTTCCAGTGCTTCATTGAAACGATTTAATGCGTACGAAGAAATTTGTTTTTCAATTTTTCCAATCTACTACCACCTTTACTGATTTGCTCCTTCCATCATCGTAGTTGTATCGATGTAACTTTTTTGAATTTTTGTTTAACTCCTTCAAGTGATCTTGGTTTTGTTTTACCACTTTTCCAATATTCTACAGCTTGTCTTTTATAATCACTTGATATTGCTGCATTAGAACTGCAAATAACATTTTCCGGTAGATATACTTTACCATTATTTCTCTCAAATATATCAATTTTTCCGCTTCTGGAATGTCATACGAATTGTAAAAATCTAGCGTTTCTTCCTCTTCTATTTGAAATTCTTGTTCGTTTTGTATTTCCTGTGGCATACGTTCAATTTTCTCTTTCACTTTTATTTCTTTCGAAGTTATTGTGGAAGACTTTGTGGAAGATTAAAAGCAGTAAAAGTTACATGGAGTAACATTATTACATTGTATGGATTAAAATGTATCATTCTGAAAATTATTAAAATTAAATAAATTTATGTATTTATCTTTTTATGTAAATGTATATAAATTTCATCTCTTTTTGAACTCTTTCTCTTCTCTCTTTCTGCTATGCAACACAATTCTTGATATATTACTTCACAAGATGAAATGGCAGCTTTCCATATGATGGACGCTTATATATTGTACTAGCTACGTTTGGTACTTCTTTATCACGATGTTATAAAAATCGCATTGAGGAAATAATATTAATACACACATAAATATATATATATATATATATATATATATAAATAAGCTATGCATAAATAAACTAATGTTAATGCGCCAATATCATAAAAATCATAGATAAATCATAGATAGTGCAGCTGCGTAAACTGTTTATTTATTCTCTGACTTTAAACCTCTCAACTTAAACATCGAATTAAAGAAGTGTTTCCTGTTGATTTTCCTCGATTGGCTCTACTTTTATTTTATTTGAAATATATTTTCTTATTTTCAATTTACATATATGTAAATTATTTATTGTCCGCACAATTCTATAATATGTTAATATATAAAAGATTTTAATATACAAGTTTAAATTACTTTTTATAAAGTTTTATATTTATAAATATATAAATTGTTATAAATTTAATTATTAAATACAATGCCATATACAAATTTTGTATCGATATTTTACTCTTTCTATGAGATTACGAAGAAAAGACGGTCATCACGAGTAGCGAGTGTCTGGCAGATACGAGTGGAGCGTGTATAGTGGTATTTCTAGTTTATTTCTCAAAAATGCGTTGTCGGAATAAAACTTTCTTATATATGGTTGGATTTGGAATTAAATAAGCTTTCAGAATTTTTATTAAAAAATCACAAATTTTCAAAAATTATAGAGGGTGGGGAGAATTTCGGAAAATTGGACATTTTTGAAAAATTCTTTTGCACTGTTTTAAAGAACATTAAAAACCATAAAACTTTTACTTGAAACATTTTTAATATCTTACCGTTTCGACGGTATTAGCTCAAAAATTAGAAAACCGTTTTTTTTTTTTTTTTTTTTTCAAGAGGATGTTTACCCCCTAAACGTCGAGATACGCCGCTAAAAAAATACGGGTCTAATATTTTTCAATGCTCTACAACATATTCAAGGCTCATTAAAATCGGTGAGGGACACTTCCGACCGTTCCCTTGTTAGTAAAATCTACTTTTTCTCATATATTGTAGTTTATGACATGTTGAACAAAAAATGTAATAAACGCAAAGCTAAATAATAGACAGTAATTGATTTACATCTAGTCAAATATGAAAAACTCAGATTCTACGAGTTGTTTAACTAGCTGTCGTAGCTCAGTATAACTGTCCATTATTTAGCTTTAAGGCTATTACATCTTTTGTTCAGCAGGTCATAAGCTACAACATATGAAAGAATCAGCTGATTTAACCGAAAATCCATTTTATATAAGATTAGTACGGGATACTTGTAAAGAGTGTATTTTGATGTGTCTCCTTTTATTTTCAGAGATCGATGTAGAACGACGGTGAACGTAATCGGCGATTCGCTCGGCGCGGGAATCGTGCAGCATCTCAGTAGAAACGAACTCGCATCGTTACCGCACAATGCGCAGCAGACGCAAAACGGAGCCGATAGTCACGCAACTACGTCGATATGAGCTCTCGTTCGTTGATCGCGGCCTGCGTCTCCTTGACTGACGATTACGAAACCGTTTCGCGATCGCCCATCCGTGGCAAACATATCGACACAAAACACTTATCGCGCGGTTCGTCGTCTATATAGGAATATATATGTTGCCATAACCGTTGGAACTTTGAAAAGAGTCCGGTTTTGAGAATATAATGAGTATATAAATTAATTAAAATTTTAAGATTGAAAGAAAACACAAATTTATTAATAATATATATATATATATATTAATTGTTGCAGTCATATCATGTATGATGTGTTTAATTTCCAAATTTTTATAAGTTATTCTATGAAGAATATTTCGAGGAATATATAAATATATATATATATATATATATATATATAGCACAATATATATATTAGGAGAGATGTCTCTCTTTTTCAATTATCTTTATATACATCAAGTACTCTAAACAGGATTATTTTTAGTCACTTAATTGACACTCATTCCGCGACATATAAAACATATATGTACGTAATGATCAGATATGAGTTATCAACGCGCGTAGCTCGCGGTGCGAGCGACCGGCGTTCTTCGAGATAATTTTGAAATATACATATAAGATGTGCTTGAAAACGCTAAATATAATACTTTTTAACTTTAGCAATCGTAGGCCCCGCTAAGCGATCCCGCTTGTCAAATGTATAAGTATGTAGTACGTATATATACATATATTTGTCTTCCATTTCTGCGTTTAACGATAATATTACGCTTGATATTTAAACGAATGTTGCAAATTTTATTCGAGCTACAAAATCCGCATCTTTTTCTTTGCGAATTATACATGTCTCTTCTTGAATTGCATTTATAAGATTGCAACGCTCATATATAAATTTTGCAAAAAAAGGTGAAACATTTGTAGTAGTTTGAAATATCGACTTTTTATTTAATGCGCGACCAAAAGAATCAAAATCTATTATTATTTTTTTATATGAAACAAAGACGGAAATGTAAATTTTACTCGTATATTATTTCGCGGCGATTAGGCTTTTGTGCCATAATATGTATCGAAGGTAGCTTTTACATTTATTCGATATCTAAAGAAAACAGACTTAAATAAGTTCAATATGCCATATTATTATCAGCTGTGGGACTTAACCCTTAAGTACGAAGCAACGTTGATCGATTTCGTCTCTTTCTGTGTTCTCGAACGAGGAGAAAACGTGCAAGTTCTCGCACTTTATAGGTTTCTCTATGAGAAAGAAAAATTCGATAATAAGTATGTAGAACAAGAGAGTATGCTTAAAAAAAGTGCATTCAGATGCTCAACACATTAATGACGAAAAGTAAAATCCGTACTTAAGGGTTGAAATACCTTTCTTTCATTGGCATAACAAAAACAACATGTTAAATTATTTTCACATGGTATGTAAAAGAATTATGTGGAAAACGTAGCAAAATAATATATATATATATATATATATATATATATATATATATATTGCCTGATTTTACCATGTAAATTCTTTATTGTGTATATGAAGGAAATTCTTTTATCACATTTTAGAATTTCTATCTAGATTTATATTCAAAAATATGTTTTGGTAAATATATATACACATATATCATTACTGTTTTTTTATCATCAAAAGTAAAATTAATATATTTGTTGAAATTCTCTTGTATCTGCGATCAGTAGAAAAATAAATTATGCAGGTAAAATTAAAAAAAAGGTGCATATATTTATCGCGTCATTAATTATGGAATGAATATATGACGATTATTTTGTTTACATATATGTTTACATGTAATTCATTAAACGTTATTCGCAAAAGTAAATAATTGATATGCAGACATATGCAATATGTCAATCAAAATAAAAGCACAAACTGAATATTTGTTTGTGAGCAATGATTGAATCGTAAAAGCAAGATATTTTCAAGTGCAAATGTTTATTACATGCAAATATAACGGAAGAGTATACTTATATTGCCGTGGAAAATATTATATAATTATTTCTAGCTTAATTATTTTCTGACCGATTTATTTAAAATTGTATTGCATATCAAGGATGGTTTATTTTTCCAAAAATCGAGATATTGATGAGTCATCGTAAATAAAAACGTGTTGTTACATCAATATAATAAATAAAATTCACTTACTATCAATCTGGTCTTTTCAACTTTCTACATAATTCAGAATATTTTTTTGTATCTCATTCTTTATATATTCGTGTAAAAAATATGAATAAATCTCAAAATCTTGAAATTGATCCGTAAATTTCAAAGCATAAAATACAAATCACGCGAAACAGGCGCGGTTTTGATTTAAACTGTGCATGCATGCGCGATGTTCTATAAAATATTTGCGCCTTTATTTTGCATTATTTTTTTCATCGACAGCGTTGAATATATATTTCGCGTTTATTTATCATATATTTATTCATGAAAAAAAATTTATTGAATTAGAATAAGTATTTATTTCAATCCTGCCAAATAAATTATTATTTATTTGAAACTAAAATAATATTTATTTAATATAAATAATATTTATTTGATATAAATAATATTTACGTAGATATTTGAGAATCGCTAGACAGAATTTAAAAAAGTAAAACTCTTCTCTCGACCGTACTGGCAAATATTATTTATTAAATCACAACGTTTCGACCCTTCTTTGAGTCCTTATCAAATGATCTAGATATACATAAAGAAGAAATACAGTACAGAGATTAATATAATAAAAAAATTACTTCACTTAACAATATTACAAAATAATAAAAAGAAGCGAAACATACTTGTAAAAATAAAAATAAAATTATAATTTTAAGATGTCAAGAACGAACATAGAGACGTCTCTTATAACTCGTCTAAGAGTCTTGACGTGTTGTCAAACCGACACTATGTTCGTTCTTGACATCTTAAAATTATAATTTTATTTTTATTTTCACAAGTATGTTTCGCTTCTTTTTATTATTTTGTAATATTGTTAAGTGAAGTAATTTTTTTATTGTATTAATTTCTGTACTGTATTTCTTCTCTATATGTATATCTAGATCACTTGATAAGGACTCAAAGAAGGGTCGAAACGTTTGTGATTTAATAAATAATATTTGCCAGTACGGTCGAGAGAAGAGTCTTACTTTTTTTTATAAATAATATTTATTTGATATAAGAAAATCGATCTTTTTAAAACAAATTAATATTTATTTATTTCAAATAAATGATGCATTTGGCTGTATTGAAATATATATGTATATTTATTATTTTTAGTAATTTTTTTCAGTGTATATATATATATATTATTATTATTATTATTATTATTATTATTATTATTATTATTATTATTATTATTATTATTATTTTATTATTTATTTATTGTTAGACCTGTCGATCAAAAAGGAATAAGAAATGCGTACAGTATACATATATATTCCTTCATCGATCAACGCCGCGTGACGTCATGGCCGCCATATTAGATCGGCGCCACGCAGTCACACGCCGGATGCCGATCACGATAGATCGCTCCCTGTATCGCTCCGGGTTTTTCGCGTCTCTCGATCACGGTGTCTTATAAGTACCGTGCTCTCGACCGTGAAAAAGTGAATACCATGTATAAACGAGCATCTCAGGATAATCGCGCAAGTGTTATATAACCTTGTAAGGTCAATCGAAGTGCGCGATAGCGTTTCTCAGCGATAATAAAATATATATGCAGTCGGTCTCGACATGTCATATCATATCAGAAACAAATATCATCGCTTTCTTCGGGTTTTCGGCGTCGGGAGTGCCGAATTAAGTATCGTGTGTTTGTCTGTCAAAATTGGAATATATGGATATCCCCAGCAGAGAATCCGAGGAATCTGTGAATATAGCAGCAGGCGAACGGTGAGTGAATAATATATTACTTATTAATTAATATTCATATTTGCGTGACAGTTCGCTTGTTTGAACCTGCGATTTCGTGACGTTCCCAATTTACGACTTTCGAATTCATTGACAGATTCGCGCTCGACGAGACGCAAATTCGAGAAAAGTTTCGGTCCATCATATTATTTATGAAAGTCAGTTAGGATTTTCGAAACGATTTGAAGTTGCTCGCGCCACATCAGTCTTGCGCTTACGCGCGCAGGGATGCCAACTGTCAAATAAAAAATGACAGCATTTGCGCGACCTAACTTCACCCGAGTTTACAATGTGATTTCTTGATTGTAAACATAAGTATATGTTTACCGGTTTTTTGAGAATAATATTTTATTATCGTGTAATACACGTTTTATTACACGATATATATTAATCGTGTTAAATATACGATGTGACAGTAGTATATTTTTTATACAGGAGCATAAGCAAACGTAGTGCGATTGATTAGGTTAGATTGAAATAATTAAATTGTGCTGTGATGATGCATTTAATTAATATTATTAATTTTATTAATTTTAATATGTGCAGCTGTTGAAGTTTAATGATTCTTTTGAGCATTTATACATACATATATTTTTAAAGCAATCATGAGTTTCTTATCTCGTGTAAATTCCATGAGACTGAACTATAAAATATTTATGTATTCCACGTTAACGTTATTTATTACGAGTACCATATTACTTTTTGTGTATCTGAATCGTATTCAACCACATTATTACATCGATGAGGCTTTTCATATACCGCAGACATTACAATACTGCGCATGGAACTTTACGCAGGTAATATGTGACATAAAAACTATTTGTTTTTAAATATTGCATACAAATTCTCCAAAGTAAAAATTTAAATTATTTTCAGTGGGATCCAAAAATCACTACATTGCCAGGCTTGTACCTTATTACCACTGCGATATTATCACCTTTTAATATGTGCAATATAACATATATAAGATTTATAAATTTACTTGGGACATGCTTGAATCTTTATCTTATTTACAATATTATAAAAGAGAATTGCAAGTCTGATGGAACCGAACGATGGAATAATTGGTTGATACTTACGTTGGCTTACAATGTTACTCTTTTTCCACCGTTGTACTTTTGGTGCTTCTTTTATTACACAGATGTTGTGTCTGTGAATATAGTACTTGCAATGTTACTTTTGCACCAACGTAATTATAGGAAAATGACAGCGTTTACAGGTAATTGTAAGATTTATCTTTATTTTATCTTATATTTATTTTTATTTATTTCAGGTAATTGTACTATATTTACTATATAAATTATAAGAAAGAATATAAAAATAAAATTGAATCAATTAAGCGAAGCAAAATAATATTGCACAGGTTTAATCGCTGTACTTGTTCGTCAAACAAACATCATTTGGCTCGGCTTCTTTACTATAGAACACGCGTTAGATATATTTGATAGCAGGATGGAACGACCAATCTCGCCACGAGTGCTCAATACTCCATTACACTTTCGTGTAAGTAAAATTGAAAAGTTACAATACGCACATCGCAAGCATTGGCAGAATTATAATCTAGCAACTTCACTTTCCCCAATCACTTCTAGTTAATTTGGAAGCAGATAATGTACGAGTTACGCAAAGGCCTGTTATCATTTATCAAGTTTACCGTACAAGTATGCAACAGTCTGTTCTTCCATCTAACGATATGCCTGATGTTCGTCGCCTTCGTTGTCTGGAACAAAGGGATAGTGATCGGTGATCGAACCGCCCATGTAGCAACTATCCACATCTGTCAGATTTTCTACTTCTCGGCCTTCGTCTCTCTGTTTTCCTGGCCCTACGTGTTGCCTCATTGGCGAACGTGTTTGCGTTTTTTTCGTCGACACTGGATTCTCGTCAGCTGCCTAATTTTGCTGATGGTCGCGGCGATTCGTTTCAACACCCTCGTTCATCCGTACGTTCTGGCCGACAATCGGCATTATTTATTCTATATATGGAATCGATTTATGGGCCGATACGTGATGTTTAGGTATCTGCTCATACCGATTTACTGTGCGAGTCTGTTCGCCATCTCGCGAAATATCAGTCACCTGAGATTTCTCACACAAGTCAATTATATTATTTGCACGTGTATGATTCTGATACCACAATTATTGGTGGAACCGCGTTACTTCATTCTTCCTTATATATTCTATCGCCTAAATCTGAAAAGACCGGAAAAGTGGCAGATTTGGCTGGAATCGCTCACGACTTGTGCAATCAATTGTTTGCAATTTTTTATTTTCGCTAACAAAGTGTTCTACTGGGAGGATCAGTCTTATGCCCAAAGAATTTCTTGGTGATATTTAAGATGATAATAAAAAAGAAACTTATTTTAATATTCAGTATTTTGTCTTTCTACCTTATCTTTTTTCTGTATAAGTATTCGATTTGAAAGGATGGACATTAAATTAATAATAATTAATCGACAATTATATTTTGACGAACAATAATTTATTGTTCATAGATGAAACTTATGGCAATACTGCTAAATGCTTTTTGTACAGTAACAGTTTGTCAGCAGTTTCGCGACACATCGTCAGCGTACACAATATATTAAACGACGCATCCCACTGACGACTCAAAACTTACTTTTTGTATTCCCTATTTTTATTATGCTCCTTCGTATATCACTATTTTTGTCATATAATATCGTTTCCTCAGCGAATATAAATGTTGCGCGCGACGATATAGTAAAAGGTACCGAACGTTTTCGTTTTTTTGATAGGAAATATTTTTTTTATTCACAGCAAAGTATATTACGTACTCTTCAAAAGAAAAAAAACAGATTTGATATAAATATCTTTAAAAATAAATACCGAATATATTAACGAAACGATTTCGAGTTCTTTAAATTTACTTATATTAAGGCTCCTACACACAGAAAAAAAAGAAGTGTCAAATCAACACTTGTATACGCAACAATATCTATAATCTTATAAGAATTTGTTAAATCTTGAATTTCGACAATATTTTTCTTGATTAAAAAAGAAAATTTGTTTGAATATAAAAAAGAATGTATTTAGTTTAAGAAAAATATTAATTTTATTATTTAAAAATAATTTTTTTGAATGGAAAGAAAAAATGTTGGCTAGAAAATAACATATATACTTTCATATAAAATAATATATTTTTTCCTTTAAATGACAATTATAATAAAATAAAAAATAAAACTATAATATATTATTATTGAAATTTAAGATTTAGCAAATTCTTATACCTATATATACACGAATTTATAAGTATTGATTAATACTTTTTTCTGTATGGGTCCTCACCGCCGCCATATTAAATTGTAACGTTACAGTTCCAACATGAGGAGCCTGGAGTCTTAAATCGAAAAAAAAAATAAATACAATTCTTATTGTATATAATAGCAGAGAATAGCATGAAGAGGATACATGTGCGTGCACCGTAATTTTTGTTTCTCGAAAAGGTGGCCGCCAATTTTTTTCTCGGATCTGCGTAGGATACGGGGGTATATATACATAACTAAAGATAATTATTTTTTTAGAAATAAAGAGTTGTATATATATGTACAATTCTTTTTTTTCAACTCACGCATATACATTGTACCATGCAGCGTCTGAATAATTGCCAGAACTTTGAGCATTAAATCGCGACGAGGCAGTCTCGTCCTTCCAATCGATGCTTTAAAACGATACAATCGTATATATCACAAACAGTCTCGAATCAACGCGCTAAGTACTCTCTAGGATTTTTCAAAATTAAAAACTAAGACGCTTTACTCCCTATATATTTTTCGAGCCTTCCTTCAGTAAAACGAAGATAATCATCCATCTCTCTCTCTCTTTATCACTTTCTCTCCCTCTCTTTTTCTACAATCTAATCGCGCGAAAAATCGCACGTATTGCTTGTCGTGAGTTTATTGCGCGCACCCTAATCCGTATATAAATCAATCTGGAACGTAAATATCTTCTGTACATACACAAACCTCCGCACATTCCAGCAGGATATGTGATTGGGAGCAATTTCTTTTCGGATTCAGCGTTTTTTCGACAATATTAATTCAATTTTTAAATAGTGCAATTTTAACGCACATATATAGATATATGTATATATAGTTTCTCGAGTTTTGGTGTCATAACGACACGATATAGTTCACGCTCTAGCGATAATTTTATTATTATCATCCACGCGCTGAAGTATCTATCGCTATAAAGCGTCACACGTTAGATAGAATAGATTTTTAAAGTAGATCGCGCCACACATATCGAAAAATCAAAGTATCGTGAGAAAATTAGACTCCCTTTCGAAAGATGTAATTTACTAAATTAATTCTACGCCATCTCTTCCCAAGTAGCAAACTGACGTCACTAAACGTCAAACTGACGTCATTTTGACGTTTAATGACGTCAAAATGACGAAAGCTTGCTCCCTGGGTCCATTCTCTGATTTAAATAATATCTAAATAATGTGAAACTTTGCGATTTTAAAGATTTATGATCGAGGATAACTACTAGATTAATAATACAAATGACATTACAAAAGAGGATATGAAACGTAACAAAAAAAAATGAATCTGTTCTTTTTTTCCGTAACTTTTCGCGCGTTTGTACAGCAGAACACTCATAATAATCCAAGAACTAATTAAGGTGATTGACAATTGATATTCTAATAAATGACTTTGTACATAAAATTAAGTTTTGGACACGAATTGTCTCGTTTAAAATAACTATGTCGCTCTACTTTTAACTAAACTGTCGTAATATATTTGTATATATGACGCAAAAGTTATAGGAAATTAGTTAAAATTGTATATATAATCAAATATTGGTCGAACTTTTTTTTATAGCGATATGTCGTAGTAACAGAAGAATTTATATTAAGGTTCCACTGTACGTCGTGATTCGATACTTTGATCCTCTCACGATCGCCATTCGGACGATTAATATGTGATTCTTTGGATTTTGCACTCGGTGCACAGCTTTCACTTATTTGCTAGCATTTTTTTAATCCTACCTAAAAGAGATCGAATCTTTAAAAGCGCGGTTTCGCGCGAACTATATTGTGCAAGAAGAGTCAAATGTAGCTTTTTAAATATTATACCTTTCTAGGAAGTACATGTTTTCTATACACACACATACACAAACAATGCTCACGCACCCACATATTGATAACGCAACATTCATCTGTTATTTGATTAATCCATTATTTTGCTTATAACCTCGTAATACGTTAAAAAAAATTATTTAATGAAAAATAAATTACATCGATTAATGGAAATGAGAGGATAAACTCGAAAGGAGAGTACCAGTCGATAATTAAAAATATTCCTATTCAGTCAAAAATACAGGCGAGAATAATTATAGTAAATAATATTTGTTGCGTAAAATACAAATATATCCTTCATGTCAAATTAATTTTTCAAAATTTTCTAATTTTATTCAGATCAAAAATTGATGAGTTACGCGTTTTATGGATCTTGCATTTTTCTTTACTTAGATTTATCGTGATTCCTAAAGAATATAAGAAAATATTTTTAACGAAAGCTATATACATAAATCAAAGATATTTAACAAAATATCTATCCATCTCATACATTTCGCATTTTTTTCGCTTGGAAATATCTATCGAAAAAGATTTTCTTAATCAGAAGTCCTCGTATAAATATTAATTTCTAATTCCTTAATCCGTAATTCCTAATCACACTCGACAAAGTTGAAGCACCAACTTCGATTTTTCATATGTATATTTTCAGCCTTTGAATTTTTTATTCCTAATCTCTCGAAGATACGAGGAATTCTTATTAAGGGACGTGTTCTAACTCTCTACTTCGTTAATCTATACTTGCTAATCACGTAAAGAGGCGGGGCAGGATTAGACGACGATCTAACGATCGTTTAACATCGTGGTAACTACATTAACGAACGGGTTATCAGGTTCACTGAAGCTGAAAGATCGATCAGCTCGTGAATTTGAGGGGTGAAAAAAATTACTCGAAAGTAGAATGATCGCTTCAGACATTTTCACTCTTTTTGTTTTCTCTGGTCAAATCATCTTCGACCTCACATCTCATAGCAAGAGCAAGTTTAGGAATGGAACTTTGCTAATGGAATAGAATAGAATTAGAATAGAGAATCTATATATATTCGTATAGAACTCGCGGGACGAATCCCTCAGGTAGAATAAAGATAATAAGAGCTTAGTTAGCGTTACACAGCGAGTGACCCGTTTGTTTTCTTTGGTCGTTCATCTACATATTTATTATACGCGTTAGAGACTATTCGAAACCACACGACCTTCAACAGTCGGTGACTGTCTCGTATTCGTCAATTATTCGTCGTATCCAACGATGAAATTCTCTTTTCGTTTATACGTAGACGAAACCGGAGACAAAATATTAGAAAATAAAATGAAAGAAGAAACGATCTCGAACTCTCTTAAAGCGTTACTTCGCGCGGATCCTATTTTTCCTTTCTCAAACTAAGGGCGGACCGTCTTCGGGGTGGGCCTACTTGTTGCGGATGTGTAAAAGCTGATAAAAAAACGATCGTTTTACCGGCTACGCTTAAAGGTAATTAATAACGATCCCAACTCTCCCCCGACACAGAGAGAGAGAGAGGGGGCAGATACATTAGGCACTGAATCGCACAGTTTTCCGCACCTAGGACTTCCCTTGGGGTGTGATATCCGATGAACTAGTGCGAAGGAGGGGCGGCGGGATCACACAAGATTCAGATTCGAGTCCTCGCGTTTCACTTTCCTCCGACCGACATCATACTATCTGCTGCTTCAGCTTAACCAGATTCGTCGAGCCGTACAGCTTCGTGTCCAACGACGCGCTGGGCTCGTTCTTCTTTGTCTGCGTGTGCCAGGCAAGCACCTTGGTGCAGTTGTCCGCCAGGAGCTGGGCGTCCCGCGGCTCGAACGGCGCTAGGCTCTTCAGGAAGCCGTCCTCCTCGTAACCCGCGCGAAACGGCATACTGGCGTTGGGTCGCAGATGCAGGAACCTGACATTCACGGCGAAGCCGGCCATGTCCACCGGGAACTTCCGCCCGGCCACCCAGCCGTCATAGAACCCGGCGAACTTGCCGTTCTTCAGAATGGGCGAGCTCAGCCCGAACTTGGTGCACAGCCCCACCGGGAACATCGACACCGTCTTCGTCTTGCGGATCTAAATTAGCGTGCGCGTATTAGGTCTGCTCTTTTCGGTTGAACTCGCTACATTAGTTCAGAGTTTAGCTCTTCTTAGGGGTTTATCCTTTATTACTGCATTGATGAACTAGTGCAATAAGTTAAAGTGAGACAAATATATTTTGTTTTTCTCTAATTTACTGCACTAGTTCACTAGTGCAACGATAAAAAACAAACCCTAGGTCTGGTCTTTTCAGCTGAACTAGTTGTATTAGTTCAGACTTTGAGTTTGTTCTTTATTGCTATAATGGTGAACTAGTGTACACTGGTGCAGTAAGTTAGAGTGAAACAAAATATATTTGTCTCATTTTATTTCATTGCACTAGTTCACTAGTGCAGCAATAAAGAACAAACTCTTCTTTATTTTTAGGTTTGTTCTTCATTGCTGAATTAGTAAAGTAGAACACACTGGTGCAATAAGTTAGAATAAAACGAAGGATTTGTTTTTATTGCCGTACTGGTGAACTAGTGCATTGGTGCAGTAAGTTAGAGTTAAACAAAATATATTTGTCTCACTTTAACTCATTGCACTGGAAGGATTTGTTTTTATTGCCGTACTGGTGAACTAGTGCACTGGTGAAATAAGTTAGAGTTAAACAAAATATATTTGTCTCACTTTGACTCATTGCACTGGTGAATTAGTGCACACTGGTGCAATAAGTTAGAGTGAAACAAAGTATACTTGTCTCATTTTAACTGATTGTACGAGTGTGCACTAGTTTACCAGTGCAGCAATAAAAAACAAACCCAAAATATATTATATATCTCACTTTAGGTTTGTTCTTTTTGGCTGAATTGGCTGCACTAGTTCAGAGTTTATCTCTTTCCTTCCAATGTGGAGTAAAAAAGATAAATTCTGAACTGCAGCCAGTTCAGCTGAGTTCAACCAAAAAGGAACAGACTATTTAACCTATTACAGTGTACACTAATATGTATCAATAATAAAAAACAAACCCTTTTTTACTCCACATTGAAAGGAAAGAGATAAACTCTGAACTTATTACAGTGTACACTAATGTACACATGTAATGTATCAGTAATAAAGATTAAACCTTTTCTTACTCCACATTGGAAGGAAAGAGATAAACTCTGAACTAGCTGCACTAGTTCAGCTGAAAAAAGATATGTTCTTTCCAACTAAACTGGTTGCACTTGCACTAATTCAGAGTTTATTTCTTTTATTTGAAGGAAAGAGCCAAACTCTGAACTAGTGTAGCCAGTTCAGCTGCAGAACAGATCTTTTATCTTTTTTCTTCCAATGTGAAATAAAAAAATGAACTCTGAACTGATGTAGCCAGTTCAGCTGAAAAGAGCAAACCCATTATTATGTAAAACAAATCCCTTGCAAATATCTCTCCAGAGGGATCTTTGTGAAAGAAATGTCGAATAGTGTAGCGAAAGTACACTCTCGCGATTTCGGCTTACCTCGTCGAAAAGCTCAATATCGTAAGTATTGTCGTCGTCGGCGAAGTAGAAGACGCCTCTCGTGGCGTTCGCCCTGATCCACTGCAAACCACGATTTCTGTTGGACACTCCTCGTGGTTTCGCACCTTTCTTGAGTTTATATTTCTCCGGCATCGGTGCTGCGATAACATAAAATCGTTTATGGCCACTGCAGATATTATTGCTCGTGACAGATTTTTTTATACAGGGTGTCCTAGAATTATTGTAAAACCTGTTAATGGCAGATTCCTGATATCATATTTGTAAACGAGTTTTTCTTAACGAAAATGTCGAGGCACTAATAATTTTTAAATTATAAGCGGTTTAAAATAAAGGTTTTTTTGTAAACTAAACCTTGTGGAAATAAAATCATATTCTTTAGTTAATTTCAATTAGAGTTTAATAGAATTTTAATTTAAGGCTTAGTTACAAAGCTACATGATGGAAAAAATTGAAAACACGCAAAAAATGATAACTTCCCTCAACATTTTCGATAAAGAAAAATTGTCTCCAAATAACACAGGAATCTGCCATTAAGAGATTTTACGGTAGTTTTGGAACATCCTGTATATATGTAGTATCTCTTGTATAAGTTAAAAATAAATAAAATAATTAAGTTTCTATTTTTGTAATTACTTTAGATGGCAGATTTTTTTCTTTTTCATCATTTCACAAAAAAATGATTTTTTTATTAATTAAAATGATTCTAAGAAATATTAATAAGAATACTATTAATTTTAATTGTTAATATCTAAAATAAGTAACAGTTAAAAATATGGACAGAATGCACACAAACAAATAATTAATCACGTAAAATTAATATTAACGCATATTAATGATTCCAATGACCGCGAAAGCTTCAAAACTAGAATTAATATTAACGCTTTTGTCAGAACAGTACCTATATTAAATTATATTTATCTTTTTATTTCTATTATTAATATTTTTATTAATTAATGAAGGACTATGTACATATGTATATAGAATAAAATAAAATAAAATATATATTATTATAATATATACATAATATATACAAATATATATAAAATGACCCATTTTAATTTATAAGTTAATATATCTTCCAAGATTTGGAAGCTACATTGACTTATAAATTAAAATGGGTCACCCTGTATATATACATACATAAACTATTATCTTACCGATTAAATGATCGAACTTTAAGCCCGTTCGTTCCAATAATTTGGTAACTTGCTTGGTAGCAACGGTAGCATCCTCGATAACAAGCCAGTGCACATTCTTGACCAACATCAAAGTATGCGCCATTCTCGTGAGTTCGGGAATCTGTTCGGGTCTTCGATATGTCGGCGTGATAATAAAGAGGGTCTCCTCGGAGAATTCTTCGGAAGGACTCGACAGTGTTACCGTCTTATGCTCCACCGTCGCGGTCGGTTGTTGCAATTGCGAAGGCGAAAGCTTGGAATTATTTCTGGAGGCCATCGTGACGTTTTTGCTTAACTGATTGATAAGCTCTTGCACGAGCATCGAGCTGATCTCCGGACTCAGGCCGTTCATAATTTGTACTCGGTACACGGCATACCGAATCTACGAAGGGTCAAATAAAACCGATAATTGTAGCATTATAATGACATAATTAATTTATCGATTGATATATAACACAGGTCAACAAAAAATTAACTTTTGTTTAGTTGCCATGGATGTTTGAATGAATTTAGGATATTTTGAGGAATTTTGAGGAAATACTGAATCCAAAAATGACAATAATTATGCCGATATTGGTTCTGGTTTTTGAGATAATGAATACTCAAATTACGATTTTACTCCAAATACGACCTGTAGCTGCTAACATATGCAACAGGATTTGATGTGTCTTTTTATTCTTTAAGAGCAGTTTAACGCAATCTTATTTTACCGATAAAACGATTATCTTTCTGCATCCTTTTCTTTTTATTGGTTGAATAGAATAGTAAAAGCTTTTCCACGATGAAAGTGAACCTATCGATTTTATGACTAAAACAAAAAAAAATTAAAAATTTATATTGTGAAAAAGCATTTATATTATTCTATTCAACCAATAAAAAGAAAAAAGTGCAGAAAAATGATCGTTTTAGTAAAACGGGATGGTATTAGGATCACCTTAACATTGTTTTTATCTTTAACATGATCCTGATCAAAAAACCATACAACAGAATTATCCTATGCATTAATTGTGATTATTTGAATCAGTTTACTTTGTTTTTCTTTCTTTTTTGTCACTTTACTGAATATAACACCATTAGATATTTCATATATACATATATATATACTTTTGTATAATTTGAAACAGTTTCCATATAATTTGGGGATAAGCTACGCCCGACCACATTACATTTTTGCATTTTTTATGTTTTTGATGGAGTACTCATTATAAAGTATCTCATAAATTAGAGCTAATCCAGAAAACCAATGCTATATTCGGCATCAGTGACGTCAAAAGTTACCTTAAAATCGATTGAATATAATATTGGCAATAAAATCAATGTTGACCAGTGAAATGACAATAATAAAATTAATCTGTCGGGCGAGGAAAGCGAGATTAACGGAAATTGACGAGCAATTAATATCTCGTAATTACATGGTAATTACTAATAATCGTAATTCTTTTCTCTTTACCGTGTCCTCGGAGATTCTCGGGGTTTTGCTGTAGTTATCGCCCTCTTCGCCGATCGGTAGATCGGCGTCTTCCGCGGAAGTGTCTGCATTGAAGGCCGTTACTTGGTCGAAAGTAACGCCGGTGGACAGGTGATACTGATAAAAAACTACGCAGATCCCTATCAAAGCGATCACTCCCATCTTCATGGACGGCTTCATTATACCGATACCTGGAATGTAAGAAAATTAAACGTCAAATATGATAAGCATAGCTAGCGAAGAGACATTATACAGGGTGTAACTAAACAGAGCTATACGAAGCACACCATCTGATGCAGAACAACAAACTAAATCGAAAAGTCCTGAACCTCTTTTTAACCCGAGCTTTATTTTTCACGCTATAAATTGTTGAAGTTCTCCAATTAGCGCGTGGCTACAACGGAAAACAGCGTAGGCGCCACCTTAGTAGGCTTTTAAAGCGGGGCCTAGGCTGTTTTCTGTTGCAGCACGCGCTAATTATTGGCGGCAAACTTTAACAATATTACTAAAACCAACCCGCGATTAGGTCTTTATTATTTCCAAGTCTAGCTAACCATAACAGACCAAAAGCAAAGTGAAATAAGTAATTTGATCAAATCTTGACGAGGATTCTATATATATACCTTGTCGGAAAATAGTAGTTATAAACGAAGTATTTCATAGGGTTACATAAAGAGATCCTGATCAGGACATGTAGATATGCCCTCTCAGAGCAAGACTACATGTCCTGATCAGGATCTGTTTACAAAACCCTATGAAATACTGCGTTTATAATTACTATTTTCCGGCAAGGCATGTATACAGAATCCTCATCAAGATTTGATCAAATTACTTATTTCACTTTGTTTTTGGCCGTCTTATGGTTAACCATATTAGGTAATGATAAAAACCTTATCAGGTTGGCCTTAGTAAGGCATGTCTTAAGAATACCCGACTAGGTCCTTATGACACATCGGGCCAATTTCTAATCGGGAATTTATAGCGTCAAAAATAAAGTTCGGATTAAAAAATGGCTCAGGACTTTTCGATTCAGTTTGTCGTCCTGCATCTGATGGTGCGCTTCGTATACCTTTGTTTAGTTACGCCCCGTATATCCGGGAAAATATAATTTACCATCTTATGAAACTTTGATAGACTTTGAAGAACGAAACACATTTTTAATGAAGCGACGCGAGAAAAGACTGAATTAAAATTTTGTTAACCCGTCAACCCGTTATATAATTTAATGCTTTTCTTATATTCTTAATACTATAATGGTTTAATAATGGAGAATGGGAGACTGGAAGATGGATCGGACTTTATAATTTAACAATTTACCGCTCCAACTTACTCCACTAACTTTTCTTTGCTTGGCAGAGGAAGCAGTTACTTTTGCGTTGTCTGTTCCCATATATATATATATATATATATATACCTTCTCCGGGATTCCAATTTTAATCTAATTCACGTTTCAATCCCATTCCACGAGAGGGCGGGCGGAGACGAACAACTCGCGTTCGCAAACATTATAGAATATATGTATATCTCATGCAAATTATAAAATGTAAATTTAATAACGGATGAAAGTACGCGAAGATTAACGACACGGAGGAAGAGATTAAAACTCGACGTTGCATTGAAACGTATTTCTCTCGTGTTCCGTGTATTAGAATTAGCGTAGATTATATCTTCCATTTCCCGTTTTATACGGCTCCGTACGAAAAAAAATAATGCACGGGAACTTTTATATGCATATAATAGCTCGTCCCGAGTTCGGAAGATTAAAATAAAGACGTTCACTCACCCGAATGCTACATGTGTCGGCTGTTCCGTCGTTTCCTCTGCCTCTCCTGAATCGCGAGCTGCTTCTTGCTCTGTCATTAGAAGTAATTAGCTGTCGTAATATCTCGTTACAAAGTTTACATTTCTAAAGAGAAGAGAGAGAGAGAGAGAGAGAGAAAGAGAGCGAGCGAAAGAAGGAGAGACCTAATAATAGCGACAGTAATTTATTAGACTTCTTTGTAAATTCTCAATTTTCTTGCACACAACAGCTATTTTTCTAACTATTATCTATGTGTCGTGATTCTCACTGATAAGGTTTCGAATTTTCCGCACAGAAAAAAAAGAAATGTCAACTTATTATATACTTGTTATTTGCTTGGATAAAAACATTTTATATAGTTCAACCAAGAAAAGTGTTAATCTTATAATTTAAGAATACATAATAATTTTTCTTGAGTGGAAAAAGAAAAATATTGAATAGAAAATAAATTATCTCTTTATACAAAATAACATATTTTATTATATTCTTCAAATGACAATATATAATATTGAAATAAATTTGTAATATTCTTGAAATTTAAGATTTAGTAAATTCTTATAAGAAGGTTATAGAATCTTATAATAAAGATTATATAGAAGATTATAGTATTGCGTATATATGAGTATATAAGTATATTTTGATATTTCTTTTTTTTTTCTATGCAGGATTTTCCCTTCATTAGAAGCATCGCGAAAAACTTTATATAAGCGGAACCTTATAAGACGCTATTTGTTCCAATTTTTATCATACATTAAACAATATATTGTAAAATAATAATAGATACTAAAAAATTTGAAAAGTTTTTAGTAAACTAGAAAATTTTTGTTGATTGTTTGCTATATTTAATTTAAGAATTTTTTATTATTATTAGCTTTCTTATTTTTTTCAATATATGTATACATATGTAGTAGCCCAGATTTGTTATTATGAATACTTTAATTCTAGTAAAAGATTTTTCATTCCGTATAGCCAATAAAGAGTTAAATGAAAATAATATTTGTCGATAAAACAGATCTAATCATCATCCCCTGAATTAACACTTCGAGGCATCGCGCGAACGAAAACGGTTTCCAATTCTCTTTCGCGCAATCAAAGAGAGACCGACGGTCCTCTCTTTCTCGAGTCTAATTATTTTCACAGGTCTCCCCGGATATTCGTTTGGCGGATCGCAGGCGTGTCGGTCCGCGATAAGCCACGCGCGCCGGAAGAACATCCGTCAGGATCGCGGACTCCGCGGGTGATAAAGCGAGCGATGTTTAATGCGAGAGATCCCGTCGTCGTCGTCGCTAACGAGCGCGATAACGCTCGGGATTTATCTAACGAACGAGATACGACGGGAGAGAGTTCATGACTCCCGAGGGATGCGTCGACTTCTGCTCTCTCCCTCTATTCCCGGGCTGGACGTGGATTCGTGAATCGTGTAATTTCGATCGCGTTTTACCACGTAATTTGATCGAACTACCGTCTCTCGTAATTATAATTTCCTCTTCAGGGCGTCCACTCAAATTTTTTGTATAAAAATTTCCTGAAAAAAATAAAATTATATGGTAAAGCAAAAAATAATTTATTTTAAATGTCTCGAGGAAAATACTAATTTATTTAAATTAAATATTTGTTCAATTATTATTTATTTGATTTTAATCAATATTTAATTTAAATACATTTTATAATAAATTATTTTTTGTTTTATATTTTTATTTTTATCAGGGAATTTTTATACAAAAAATTTGAGTAGATACCTTGAAGAATAGGAAATTATAATATTGTTTATTTAATTATTTATTAGTGCTAATATATTTAAATATTATCTATTAAAAAATGAACAATTTTTTATGAAGATTTATAATTTATATAAGATCTTGATACTCTTGAAAAATAGATTGTCAATCAAAAAAATCACATAAAATTTAATAAAAACTTAAATATTGCCAAAATGTGTTAGACATATGTTTTTAAGTGCTAAAAAAGAATAAAATTAATAAAAGGATTTTTTTAATTCCTCGAATCCCAATTAAATTCCGGGAAAATTACATTTTCAAGCTTGAACAAAATTCCCTGAGAATAGCAGGTTTTCAAAGTTTTTCCCGGGAGTATACACCCTGTCCTCCGATATCAGATGATCCACGACGGGTCGTCTAGCATTAATTAAACTGTCGTTCTCCTCGCGGTTTTATCGTCTCTCGAAGGAACAATAGGTCTTCAATGAGATTTACGATGTTTGCGAAGCGCACATGATAACGCGTCGTTTTACTAAAGAAAGTAGTTGTCGGTGCCACGTAGTTTGCGTGCAATCTATTACTTTTTTTCTTAATGTCCTTTTCGTCACCCACATACGTACAAATATGCGTTGCAATGTCAAATAAGTCTTATCTTTACCTCCTCTCTCTCTCTTTCTGTGTGTCTTTTTATCTCTGCCTTTTCCATATTTATCAGTTTTAAGCAAAGGATATGTGAGCAAATATATTATTTTTCCAAAACGAGTATATTTGTCGTATTTTAATAATGAGACATTTAAGGAGATGCTAACAATTAAAAAAATTCATAATACATCTAGGCTACTATATATGTATATAAAAAAAAACAAGAAATCTAAATAATTATATAGTTTTCTTATTGGTCTTTTGCATTAGGTCAACTTATAACCTAACCTAACCGATAAGAAAACTAATATTATTTAACTTTCTTGGTTTTCCTTTATATACATATATGTATATAGTAGCAGATTTATTATTATGAATACTTTAATTCTAGTAAAAAATTTTTCATTCTGATAGTCAATAAATATAGTTGAATGAAATAATATTTTGTTGATAAAATACAGTCAGCATTCCCTTAAGATTCCTTGGTATTCTTTTGTAGCCATGTTAGATTGTGACGTCAGAAGCGAGAAAAATAGAAATCCATCAAAATATCTTTTTATCTAAAAATGGCACGCAAAAAATTTCAGTGTGCGCTTTCTCGCTTGCGATGACATTCAGTGTTGTGCTTAGATACTTTTAAAATTAGCTAGATAAAGATGAGATAAAAATATGCAAATTAATCTTAGATAAGACAATGGTGATTTTGTTTTAATTATATCTAGATAAAAGATAAAATTATAATATAGCGACTCATCTAGATAATTTCTATAGATAATATTATTTTTAAGACCGCTTATGTAAACACAGTATATACATATATAGATAATTTAATAAAGATAATACTTTTTTGATCTATATAAAATGCAGATATAGATAATATATGTATTTATTATCTATATAAATATAAGATGACGTCAAAATTTCATCTAAATGATCATCTAGATAATTTTAGATAACAGCAAACATTTATTATCTAGATGAAATTTTGGCATCATCTTATCTTTATATAGACAATAAAAATATGTATTATCTACATCTGCAAATATTAAATGAAGAAAAAGTATTATTTTTACCATTTATCTAAATTATCTAGAATAACGTTCAGATAATTTGATTTAAAGTCATCTAGATATATTTTATTTTATCTAGATATATTTAAAATTATCTTCATATATTTATCTAAATATATAAATATAAGATGACGCCAAAATTTCATCTAGATGATCATCTATAGAATTTTATTAAAATAACAGCAAACACTGATGACGTCACAGTCTAATATAGCCGTGAGTACCAAAGAGCCTTAAAAACGTTTCGCATCTAGCGCGCCCGAGAGAGCGAACAACGCTCTTCTCCTTCTAATTTACTTTCAACGCGTCGCGGCTATATCGTAACGATCTTATACAAGCCACGTCGTGTGCAGAGAACGGTTGCTCTAAATTACACGATGCCGAGAATTTAATGTCGTCTCTCTCGCTCTATAATATACGTCGTATATCGCGAACTAGCGCACTGTTTTACGCCTCGCGCAACAATACGTCAGCACCCAGAAAAATATAAAGTCCCATGGGCGATAAGATCTACGTGCCTTATCCTTGTTCTAGGTGCAACCACGAAGTGAATATTTTATAACAAAAAAATTCGCGGCAATTATATCGATTTGAAGGTCGGACTCGCACTCGATCAATTCCATTCCGCGTTTATTCTAGAAATGTCAGAGTTTGTCAAAGCGCGCACAGAAAAAAAGAAATGTCAAATCAACATTTATTAGTACTCGTATATACAAGGTATTCTATTTTAAATGCCGCAGGCAAATATTTCAAAAAATATGGAAGCTATACAATAAAAAACGTTTCATATACAAAAAGGTTTTATGACGGGACACAAAATGGTATCATTGATTTAATTTTGAATAATTATTTGAAGGGCACGTAAAGGTCACCTTTAGTTTCTTAAATGGAGCTCCCTATTTTTCATTACGTATTCTTTTAGCTTATCTCGATATATCAAAAAATTGTAAACTTTAACCCTTATCAAGTCGAGAAGTATTTAAGAAAAAAGAAAAATATTTTTTCTAGTGTTTTTGAAGGCTCTCGAGATAAGCGACAAGATAGGCAAAAAATAGGGATTCTCATTTAAGAAAGTGACTTTCAAATGATAATACAAGGTGAATGATACCATCTTATGTCCCCCTTTGAACCAAACAACTTTTGTCTAAAACATTTTTCCGTATGTTCCATATTTTTCGAGACATTTGCCCGCGGCATTTAAAATAGAACACCTTATATAATCTTCTTATAAAAATTTGCTAAAGCTGAAATTTCAACAATATTATAGTCTTATTTCAATATTATAATTATCAATTGAAGAAAAGAAAAAATACATTATTTTATGTGAAAATATATTATTTTCTATCCAACATTTGTTCGGAATTTAAAAATTTCATTAAAAAATTAATTAAAAATTAAATTAATTTAAAAAATTCCTTAAATAATAAATAAGATTCCTTAAATAATAAATATAAAGATAATTCCTTAAATAATAAATAAGATTAATATTTTTCTTAATTAAACTATATAAAATGTTTTATTCAAGTAAATTTCCTTTTTTAACCAAGAAAAATATTGTCAAAATTTAAGATTTAGCAAATTCTTATAAGAAAATTATATAGATATTGTTCATTGTTGCATAT